CCCCGGAGGGTCCCGCTGTGCCTCTGCCAACATCGTTGTACATACTCGTGTTCCGACCCCCCGCCGCTCGCCGTGGGCTCTTCTGTTTTATATATATATATAAAAAAATTATATAAAGTCCTTGAAGTCTGTGCCTTATTTTGGGGGATTTAGATGCAGGGGCTGAATCTTCAAATGAGGAAGGCGAGGGGAATTTGGCGAGCCTGCCCCTTCCTGTCTCGGGAGCTGGCTTGAAGTCAGGTAGGTTTTTTTTGGATTTTCGCTATAGGGCGCGTGTGCTCGCCAGACAGACAGAGAGAGACAGAGAGACAGAAAGCGAGAAATCACCCCTCAGGGGGAATGGCCACTCCGCAATCCCTTCTCCATTCTCCTCTCGGGATCTTGGGCACGCACGCACACGCGCCCGGTGTGAGTTTTAAGCCACCGGGTCCGGGACGCAAACTGCGGTCGACTCTGTGGGAGTCCAACAACATAGCCATTACGCTAACTGCTGGTTCCCAAAGTCAGGTGGTTTTTAATCTGTGACTGCTCTGACGTCCACGTCGCCCCTCGCGTACGCAGTACAACTTCGCGGGCTCACGTGTTTATTGAACAGCAGCCGTGCGGGGCATCCTCCACCCATGAGCTCATTTAAACATTGAGCATTAATCCCAGCCACAACCCCTAGGAAGAACTGTCTTGCTTTTTTCTGTCGAAGGAAGGCTGGGAGAGGTCAAGCAATCTGCTAGAAGTCACACAGCTCGTAAGAGGTAGGGTCAGCAGATGCCCTAGTGGTTAGGGCACTGGACTCAGATGGCCAATCATGGTTTGAGTCCTAGACACACCAACTTAAAAATCACCTGTACGTGTGTGTGTGTGCGCGTGCGCCCAAAATTCTAAGAGAAGAATGGAGAAGGGATTATAGCATGACCATCCCCTGGGAGATGACTTCTCACTTTCCTTCTCTGTCTCTCTGTCTCTCCAGCAACTGCACAGGCCCTATCGCCAAAACAAAACAAAAAAAAATTGAACTCTGACCTCTGGTTACAATTACTGTGGTTTTTTTTTAGTGGGGGAGAAGTTTTTGCTATAGGGCATATGCGCTCGCCAGAAAGAGATAGAGAGACAGAAAGCGAGAAATCACCCCCCTGGGGGTGGGGGTGGGGATGGCCACACCACAATCCTTTCTGCCCTCAGGATCTTGGGCATGCATGCACTTGTGCCCGGCATGAGTTTAAGCCACCAGGTCCAGAACTCCAACTGAGGTCGACTACATGGGAGTCCAGTGACATAGCCTTATATAACGCCACCTGCTGGTCCCCTGGTTTTTAATTTGCAAGATGCATGGCATGGGCTCTCCAGAGAGAAAGGTAGAAAGCACCCTAAGGGGCAGCAGGGTCACACAGCTTTTCTCTTGCCCCCATCCAGGGCTTGAATTACATGGTGGGCCATGTGGAACTCCACCATCTTAACCAGAGGCCACAGGTTGACCCTGGCCATCTGATTAAAAGCCACATGTTGACCACGTGTCTGTGGCTTGGGGGGGGGGGCCGCGTGTCTGTGGCTTGGGGGGGGGGGGGCTCTGAATGTTATCGCCAGACACAAAGTCCAGCCTGCTAGGGGGAGGGAGGAGGCTGCTGCCGGCCCCACCCCTACAGGTGCACGGGCGGGGCAAGGTGCATTCTTGCAAACCTGGCCCTCCTTCCAGGTAAGTACTTCCTGTGTGGCTGCGCCGGGATCCTGGGAGGAAGCCTTGGGTCCCCTTGGGGGTCCCTGGAAGCCTGAGTGTGAAGAAGGGGCCCTGTGCTCTCAATGGTCCGGCTCTAGGCGCTGCGACAGGATGCTGAGGACACGCTGGAACTTCTCCAGACGGTCGGCTAGCGGAGCTCCCGCGCCCCGGCTTCCCCAGAGCAGCCTCCGCATGAAGCTGGTGGTCAGGGCCTCCTTCAGCTCCAGATTTGGGCGGAATCCTGGGGATAGCGTCAGACAGACTGGGGGCGGGGCCTAGGCGCCTGCCTCCCCCTACAGCACCTGCCTTTCTTCCCCGAGGGACTAAAGTTCCTGGGACCAGAGGGACTCCGCCCGAGTACCGAGTACCGGGATGACTGGGCGGGGCCAATGGAGGAAGGCTCCTCCTGCATTGCAGGAGTGGGGGTGTGGTGCCCCAGGAGGGGATCTTTGGAGGCGGGCTCTCCAGATGCATGGGGGTGGCTTGTTGCTGGTGCAAGATTCCTGGGGCTCCAACTAAGGGGCTAGCCTGGAGGTGGGCGGGACTTGAGGTCAGGGCCGCCCTCAGGACTGGGGTGGGTTGGACTACGGAAGAGGGAGGCACTGCCGAGGACGCATCCAGGAGGGGACTGGGCAGCCCCAGGCTAGGCGGGAGGGGAGGCTTTGAGCCGCAGTGGGGGCGCTGTTGAAGGACTGAGTCATTCTGGAGGGAGCTGAGCATCTTGGGGATTGGGGTCTTCTGGAAATGGGGTCGTCCCAGGTGGAGGGCTGGGGTGGGACCCCGTGAGAGTGACTCTGGGGTGCCAGTCACTCTTTTCAGAGTGGGAGGCCCTGCTCTGGTCCATGCCGCAGGTTGCAGGCACGTGTTTGGGGTGAGAGGCCAGAGGGTGACGTTCCCCAGACGGTCGGCTAGCGGAGCTCCCGCGCCCCGGCTTCCCCAGAGCAGCCTCCGCATGAAGCTGGTGGTCAGGGCCTCCTTCAGCTCCAGATTTGGGCGGAATCCTGGGGATAGCGTCAGACAGACTGGGGGCGGGGCCTAGGCGCCTGCCTCCCCCTACAGCACCTGCCTTTCTTCCCCGAGGGACTAAAGTTCCTGGGACCAGAGGGACTCCGCCCGAGTACCGAGTACCGGGATGACTGGGCGGGGCCAATGGAGGAAGGCTCCTCCTGCATTGCAGGAGTGGGGGGTGTGGTGCCCCAGGAGGGGATCTTTGGAGGCGGGCTCTCCAGATGCATGGGGGTGGCTTGTTGCTGGTGCAAGATTCCTGGGGCTCCAACTAAGGGGCTAGCCTGGAGGTGGGCGGGACTTGAGGTCAGGGCCGCCCTCAGGACTGGGGTGGGTTGGACTACGGAAGAGGGAGGCACTGCCGAGGACGCATCCAGGAGGGGACTGGGCAGCCCCAGGCTAGGCGGGAGGGGAGGCTTTGAGCCGCAGTGGGGGCGCTGTTGAAGGACTGAGTCATTCTGGAGGGAGCTGAGCATCTTGGGGATTGGGGTCTTCTGGAAATGGGGTCGTCCCAGGTGGAGGGCTGGGGTGGGACCCCGTGAGAGTGACTCTGGGGTGCCAGTCACTCTTTTCAGAGTGGGAGGCCCTGCTCTGGTCCATGCCGCAGGTTGCAGGCACGTGTTTGGGGTGAGAGGCCAGAGGGTGAGGTCGCCCCAGTTTAGGTGGGACTCTGGGGAGGGAGGCCGCAGGGTTCCTTCCCATGACAAGGTTAGGGCATGCGGGGATTCCTGAAATCGGGACTGTTTGGCAGCCTGGCGTTGAGGGGGCGCTCACCTCGCAGGCGCCGAGCGGCCCCCTGGCGGAATTTGGGGGCGTCTCGGGCCAGGCACCGCGCCCCATGCAGGGTGCGCAGCAGCCGCTCACAGCTCTCGTCCAGAGGCCCAGAGAGTTCCTCGCCCTCCAGCAGGCGCACCGCGGGTACCACGTGCGGGAGCGCCACCTCGCTGGGGTCACGGGGTCCTGCGGAGGGGAGGATCTGATGTGGGGTGGGGGCCGTGGATCGGGCATAGGGAGGAGGTGGCGCCTAGGGCCGATCTGAGGGGCGGGGCTGGGGCAGACTTAGTGGTGCCCTGTGCCAAGGACCTAGGGCCGGCCTTAGGTGGAGCCATACATGGTTCAACATGGGGGCGGGGCCTATGGTGAAGAAGGCGTGGCCTAGCGGCACGGAGGCGGGCCTTAAGATAGCGCGAGGACAGGCTTAGGGAAAGGGCTCGGGTCCCCACATAGCATGGAGGGCGGGACCAATGGTGAAAGCGAGGCCTAGTACAGACGGTGATGCAGCAAAAGGCCAAGGTGGGGCTAGGATACAAATTTGGGACAGACCCGGGGCTGAGCCCAGCACACTGGGTATAGGGCGGGGGTGGACCTTCGAACAGCTAGCGCAAGAGGGAGAGGCTTAGGATATGTTAGGACACAGTGTAGGGGGCGGGGCCTAAGAATTAGACTCAGCCAGGTAGAGGGCGGGGTCTGTGCGGATGGCGGGGCCTAGGGCAGGGAGCTTAGGACAGCGGGCTAGAGGCATGGCATAGAATATGGTTAGGACATAGTATAGGGGGCAGAGCCTAGGGTAAGGGCAGAGCCTAGGGTAAGGGCGGAGCCTAGGGCAGGGGTGGAGCTTAGGACAGACGGAGACAGGTGTAGGATAGAGTACGGTTAGGACACAGCATAGGGGGCGGAGCCTAAGGATAGTCCAAGTCTGGCAAATAGGGGAGGGGCCTAGGTTAGGGGTGGAGCTTAGGACCGCGGGAGACAGATGTGGCATAGAATATGGTTAGGACATAGTATAGGGGGCGGAGCCTAGGGCAGGGGTGGGGCTTAGGACAGCGGGTGAGAGGCGGGGCGTACAATATGGTTAGGACACAGCATCCGGGCTCATAGAGGGCAGAACCTAAGGATTAGGCCAAGCTTGGTACAGAGGGGCGGGGCCTATGATGGGGGCGGAGCTTAGGCCAGGAGTGGCGTTTAGGACGTAAGGCTCAAGGCGTGGCATAGAATATGGTTGGATCACAGGGTATGGGGCGGGGCCTAAGGACTATAAGGAGCCAGGTACAGGGTGGGGAGCGAGACTAGGACCGTGTTAAGATTCCTACTGAAATTAGCCTGGGTCTTCGTGCGGTGCCAAGTCCCAGACCCTCACTCACCGGTCCCCTCATCCAGAGCCCGCATCAGCGGCTTCAGCTCCTGCTCGAAGGCCAGTGCAGCCTCCGTGTGGCTCCGCCGGAGGTGGCGCCACGTGTGCTCCAACCGGGACACCTGGGGGCAGAGCCCTGCGCCTGCCTCTTCTCTCCCTCCTCTTCCCAGCCACCCGTCTCTCTGGCTTCCTCTCCATCCCTGCTCCCCACGCACCTGAGGCATGAGCAGCGCATCAGCGGCTTCAGCTCCTGCTCGAAGGCCAGTGCAGCCTCCGTGTGGCTCCGCCGGAGGTGGCGCCACGTGTGCTCCAACCGGGACACCTGGGGGCAGAGCCCTGCGCCTGCCTCTTCTCTCCCTCCTCTTCCCAGCCACCCGTCTCTCTGGCTTCCTCTCCATCCCTGCTCCCCACGCACCTGAGGCATGAGCAGGGCGCTCATGACCGCGGCCAGTCCCGGCAGGTCGCCCACCGCCCCTGGCCGCAGCGCCAGCGCCAGCTCCACCAATACTCTGAGTGACGCCGCCGGCTCCC